CCTCTCCAGGAACATCCCATTTAATAATTTGACGTGCATATGCTGGGCTCAGGACAGACAGGATGAGCTCAGGGCAGTGGGGTCAGAGCTCTGCCCTCCTGAGCACAAGCCTCACTGATTGGGGTGGTTGCTCCTAATTTGAACCTGAATATTTGAGAAGGGAGTTGGGTTCTGTGGATTATAACCATTAAATACCATTCAGTTTGTGGGACTATGCAAGTGTGCAGACAAAACTTAGGGATGCAGCCTCGACTCCCTCACTGGGCCACAGCCAGCAGGCTTCATTAGATCCTCCAGACTTTACCTAATTTTGGTGTTATTCCCTCATCATTACATCATGGCTGTGGAGACAGGGTCATGCTCTCTGCTGTTGTGGTTGTGGAAGGGATTCACGTGGTTTTGGTAGGGGTAGGCAGGGTTTGAACAGGTTTCAAGTATTTAAGTGCTGCTGTCCGTGCTGGGAGTCTTGGGAGAAGATTCAGTCCCAGCAGAGAGTGAATTTTACTCTCCCATCAGACGCGATCTGTGCTCTGCCAACGATGGGAATGTCCTGGTTCACAGCAGCAGGGTGACAAACTGGGAGAGCTGCCCTCCATGCCAGGGGCTGTGCTCTCAGCCTCAGTGTGCCACTGAATCCTCTTCATTCCCTGGAAATGGTTACAACTCTGGCAGTGCTTCCCTGACTGTTTCAGAAAAACAAGTGCAACCTAAGCAGCAAAATCTTGGTCCCCTCTGAGATCCCCGTCCCCAGGAAATCTGTTGTATCTGGCTGACTGCAAGGTGCCTGTGGACAGTGTAAGCAGCTGTGTTCCTTCTCCCTGTGGCTCCCTTTGCAGGGGTTTCACCTGCAAAAAAACCCAAACCAGTGGATAGACTTGAAGTATCCAGTCCTTCTGCACCCTTCTTGTGTTTTCCCCTTTATCTCTTTATCTGGACCTGAGGATTTTGTGATTGGAATTTGAAAACCTTACACTTCTCAGGTACCCTCTTTCTCCTCTCTTTCCCTGTGCCTTTCTGGCTCCTGTCCTCCCACTCCCAGGAAATAGCTGAAAGATAATTTGGCATATTTTCTGCCACCTTCACATATCTCCCTGACTTCATGTTTTCTTAGCTGGTAGATAGCTTTTCAACACATATATATATATATGTAATCCTTTTCACCCAGACTTGTGAGGAATTCCAGTCTCTTCCAGTGGGAGTTTTCAGGAAGGTTTAGGTTAAATGGGCCAATAAGGCAAAACATGTAGCAGGAGATCTCACCTTCTAAAGACATCGTTTCTCTTTTGCTTTTTTTTTTTATTCCCCAGGAAAATATATCAGAATATCTAGCTCTCAAAGAATTCAAACAATAACGCCTGATCTGAAGATTGAAGCACAGGGCCTTTGAAAATAAAGATTGTAATCTCTGTGTGGTGTGTCCAGGGACAGATGGGGCTGGAAGTCAGGTGTGCTGAGCAGCAGAGTGCTGTGGGGATGCTGCTCGGGCATGGTGGCACACCATGAGCTCTCCTGCACATTCTCTTGGATTTTCCCTGGCTCTTCCATTGTGCTGTGGCATATTTATCACAGGGCAGCATTCCAAGAACAGTTCAAATTAATGTAAAATGTGTTGGTGATGGCTGAGCTTTTCTCCTGCTGTGTGTGAGTGGAGTGGGAGACACGAGCAGCCCCTTGTGCTGGGTCAGCCTCCACCCCCCAGGAACTCTGGTTGCATCCTTCGGGGCTGGGATTCATCCCAGAGGATTTTAGATGTGCTGTTTAAGGTGCCTGAGAGAACTTAGGGAACTTTGTGCTTATTGTACAAAGAAGTTGCAGGGGTGCTGCAGTCTGGACGCCTGCTGGGCCATAACCCTGCACCGGTCTCCTGGGAAGCAAAGGGGGGCCAGGGCTCCCTAGAAATAAGACAATGCTTCCAACATCTTAAGACTCAGATTTTGCACAAGTGGGAACCTCTGTGAGGCCCTGGTGTGCCCTAGGGCAGCTCAGGTCACAGCAGGGATCAGACATCCTCTGCTGCACCTCCTGCTCCGCTCCCTGGTGCAGGAAAGTCCCTGGGGGTTTGGGCTGTCCCTCGGGGCCCTGGCGTGGATGCTGCTGTGTTTGCCAGCACAAATGTCCCACTGGATGCTTGCTTATCCTCTGCTGCTCGGGCTGTGCACTGGCACTTGCCTGGGAGGGATCTCAGCGCTGCTGTAACCTCTGCAGCCTGCAGGAAAGGTGACTTCCATCTAGTTCTAAATTATGACATTATTTTATTAGATCTTTAAACTTTAGTTAAATTTTTTATTCTAAAAGGGGGAGAAAGGTATCGTATTTTAATTAGTAGCGGTGCCAAAGGAGTCCTAGATTAATTATTTGAAATCACTCCATCCAGATGGTTTTCATTTTCACAGCAGGGAACCGGCATCTTTTTAAGGTGATATTTTTCAAATTAAAATCAGCTTGGATATTACTCATACTGGCTGCAGAGCGAGGGGGTGGGGAACACGAGCCAGTGTGCCCCGTGTTTGTCCATCAGAGCACAGGACCTGTATCAGAGGGGTGGGAGCTGCTGGGACCACAGCTCTCGTGGTGAAAGTTTTGTGGTGTCAGCTCCTCCTTTGGCTGGCCAGAGCCTGTATGTGATGTTCATAGCCTGTGATGTTCAGAGTCGCTCTCAGCAGCTTTTCCCTCTCAGGCTGGAGCAGGCAGGGAGTGCCTCACAGCTCAAGGGAGCTGTCCTGTTCTCACCCGGCCCCTGTGCTGGGTGCCCATGCCCAGCTGCTTTGGCCACTGGACATCTGTGGGCAGCTCCTTGGTGCTCTGGGTGTTGGCCATGGCTCCTGGAGCAGGCTTTGCTGGCTCTGCTCGTGCGCTGGCTGCTGCTCTCCCTCTGTGAGGCTGAGCTCCATCCTCTGCTCCTGAGAGGAGAAGCCCTTTCAGAGTCATCTCTTTAAAGGCAGATGGTGTCACCTTTGCTGTTCCCTTGTGTGTCAGGGCTGCACTGCACCTGAGCAGCTCCCTGAGCTTCCTGGAGCCGTGGGTCAGGCTCCAGCCATGCTGCTCAGCCTGCCCTGGAGGAGCTGTCCTTGCCTTGTGCCATCACCCCCTCCTGGCTGGCCCACCTTGATATCCTCACTTTGAGGGGTTATTTCTGGCTGGAGCCCTTCCTCACAGAAATGGGCACAGGTTTGACACTGCCCTGGCAGGTGAGGGGACCAAGTGGGCAGCACCCAGTTGTTGCTTCAGGCTGCTCCCATCATAGGTATCTAAACCCATGAGGTATTTCTGGAAAACTTCCATAAATATCCCTATCTCTGCATGATTGCAAGTAATATCCTGCTGTAATACAGGCATTATCCCACTTGCTGTCAGAAAGAAGTTATAATTTAAATATCCCCAGTGATAACAGGTTTAACAAATATATCTAAATAAATGTAAGCAGCTAGTAACTGGAAACCCCTGTACTTACAGATGTGATTGAGCTGTGAGGGGAAAATTGTTTAGGGCCCTTGTGAGTTAAAGGTTTGTGATATTTGCACTGCTGCAGAAGCCAAAAGCTGACTTTACAAGTGGGAAAAATATTAATGTGTTTAAATGAAACAAACTCCTATTTCTATCCCCATGGTAAATCCTTACAATGAACATATTTGCTCTTAGAGGGCTTTAAAGTTTGAAATATGAATGCCAAAAAGAATGTGACTTTTTTCAGCGCAGATCAAACATTCTCCAGAGTTTGGCAATAGCTGTATTTCTACGGTGGGGCTCAGAACTCACAGGCATGAGTATTTCCAGAGCAGGAGCGTGGAGCTGCACTTGCTGACACTCACACATTCTTGCATTGTGTTTCAACCATGTCTCCTCTCTCCTCCTCCATGTCAGAGATGGATCTGCACCAAAATGTCCAGTCTGCCTGTTCCTGCCTCTCCGGGGAAATTCCTGGAATCCGAATCCTGAGCATGACTGGAATTTGTGTTTAGCTAGAGATGGAGTAAAAGGCTGCATTTGGATCTGTCTGGGTTTTGAGATGATGACGATGATGGCATGCCGCTCGTCTGGGTGACAGCTTGAGCTGGGCCCCTTGGGCAGGTACAGCTGTGCTAGAGCAGGGCTTTGTGGAGCAGCAGCAATCTGTTCTCCCCCCTGGCTCCTGCTGCAAACCAGCTCTGGCATCAATACCCTGCAAAACAGAGATTGGCCACATTTCTCCCAGCTAGAGCCTGAGACCTGGACCTGGACTGCCAGAAAGAAACCTGTGACCTCCTGGGAGCACAACCAGGCACACAGGACATGTGCAGGGTGGGTATGCATCAAACAGAGCAGGCAGTGCCAAATTTCTCCCTGTGAGCTGTTGTGGCGACCTTTGGGAGATCCCTGCCAGGTTTTGCACTGGAGTGTGTGGCTGAAGATCTTCTGTTCAGTGTTTGAGGGCTGCTGGCTGTGGGGAAAGGGTTTTCTTTCTCATCATGCTAATCTTTCATCTTCATGAGAATGAAATCCACGTTCTTACCCTCCAAGAAGCCTCCTGCAGTGTGAAGGAGAGTGCTGGCACTGGAATGGGCTGCCCAGAGCATTGGTGGCATCACCACCCCCAGAGGTGTTTAAAAGCCACATGGATGTCACGTAGGGTGCCACATCTGGTGGCCACAACAGTGCTGGGGGAACAGTCAGACTTGATGATCCCAGAGGTTTTCTCCAACATAAGCAATTCCTGGTTCTCTGAACAGTGAGCTAGCATTGCTGGTGAGGTGGTGGGGCAGGTGTGACAGAGCCCACAGGTGTGTTGGTTATCCGTGTATCCATGTTTCCATGTAAAGCAGCTCTAAACCCAGGCTATCTGTGTGGGGATGAGTGGAGAGCTGTCAGTCCTGCACCTGCACCGAGCCACGAGCTGCCTGGTCCTGGGGCTGGCCCTGCAGGGCGTGCTGTGGTGCAGAGGAACAGTGCCCTGGTGAGCTCTGCACCCTGCAGCTTCCTGGGACCACACTGGTAAATGCTTTCTTTTCTTCTTCCTTTCCAAGCCCAGCTTCTAGTGGAAACAGACACTTTTGGCAGTCAAGTCCGGATCAAAGGGAAGGAGACAGATTTCTACCTTTGCATGAACAGGAAAGGCAAGCTAGTGGGGAAGGTAAGTGTTTCCTATTAATTCATTTGTAACCTGAGTGTTACCTTGAGCAGCCTCCTCCAGGCTGTAATGATGTGTTTGAGCCTCATCTGTCAGCCTCAAATGAGAAGCAGGACGGGGGATGTGGGGTTTGCAGGGCAGCTCTTGCTGTCCCAGGTGCTCTCCTGAGGCTCCATTGAGCCCCCCAGCCTGTGAAACGAGCCCTGCAGCCCCACAGGGCTCTCCAGGGCTGCTGCAGGTGTGCACGGGCTCGTGCCTCATGTGGGATGTCACCTCAGCATCCCAGGGCCAGGGCCACCTCCACAGCACCTTCCCCACCCGATCTTCCTTTGGGGGGACATCCAAATACAAATTTTCCCCAGAACTTCTTTTGGGAGAAATTCAGAGTGGAAGGGCAAGCAGAGCACTGTGCTGGAGCAGAAAGCTCCTTCCTGCCAGCCAGGAGCCAGGGATTGGTGTGGCACAGCCAGGGCTGGAATCAGAACTTTGGGGGATGCCCCCACAATGGAAGCATGTAGCAAATTACAGCGTGTTCAGTCCTTCAGCCCAGCTTGTGTGCTGAAGTAGTATTTTTTGTGTATTAGCTGTTTTTGTAACTCACACAGTCCTTCTTTATTGTTGGAAAAGCTGGAGGCTTGCTAACCAGGCAGAGGCTTGTGCAAAGCTGAACTGCCACCAAAAAATAAATGTGAAATAGAATATTCCAGCTTTCAAACCTCTGCTGCCCTCACTTAGCACTGCCAGGAGTTCAAACCTAGTATCTCTGTGGCTGTGAAAAAGGCAAGCTGAGTTTTGTTTTGAGTCAAGGCAGTGAAAGCCATGCTCCCAAACAGAAACCAAATGCCTCTGATGAAAAATGATTTACTATTGTGGTGGCAGGAGTGACACCTGTGGGACACTGCCCTTCCAGGAGGATCCCTCCCTCTTCCACCTGTGCTTCCTTGGGGAGCAGATGCTCTGTGGAGGCTAAGCCCAGGTTATTTGCTGCCAGCCAGGGCCCTTTGCCTGACCTGCTTTGGTTGAGGCAGGAGGCATCCAGCGCACTGCTTAAAGTCAGGTAGAAATGGAAATCAGCACTCTGGGAGGGCTGGGGCAAAGCATCCAATTCTGTCTGCTTCCTGCACTTGTGTTACCACCCTGCCTGAGACCCCATTGGTCTCATTGGAAATTACTGGAATTATTGGAATTATTATTGGAACCCATTGGAAATTATTTCAACTGGATTTAAACCATGCTGGATGCTTTTGAAGGTTGCATTGGACACAAACTTGCCTTAGATATTTCTGTGCCTTAATTTTCTGTCCTTTAAATGCAGTCATAGCATTTTCCCCTGAAGTGTTACAAGGATAATGCTGTTCATGTTTAGGAGGTGCTGATACCAGCCGTGGAGATCTTAGAAGCACTCAGGTGGGGTAAACTGAACACAAAATCTTACCTTTTTTTCAGCAGACCTTGTCCCAGGTGGGTCAGCGGTAGCACAGGGCAGCCCACGGCCTTTCCTGTTCCTCACAGAGTGTTCAGGAGCATCCTGGCCAAGTCACATCAGTTTTTCCAAACATTCTGTGTATTTGTATGGAGTGTGCGTTTAAGGCTCATCCCTTGATTTGGCCTGCTGGGTGCTGAGGCAGGACAGTTCTTTAGCTTGTCACCTTTCAGGCAGCACAAACCCTTTTCCCCCACCACCACCATGTGCTTTTTGTGGTGTTAAGCTGGCAAATGTTTTGTGACAAAGAATAAATATGTCTGTTCTTGTAAATACTGCTGCCCTCCCAGCCCAGCCTGTGACAAGTTCCCAAAGCAGCCGACCTGGGCCAGAGGGAACGCGGCACTGGGCAGGAAAATGTTCCAGATGTGTCGCCCACATTAACAGCTCCCCATGAGCAACAAAAGAAAACAATAGCATGTCTTCTAGATACCAAAGAGTGTGGTTTTAATTAATGTCATGGCTTCAGCTCTCTTTGTGGCAAGAGTTTGAGGGAATGCCTTTTAGCCTGCATGCTCCAAACAGCCAGTAAACCCCAAGGAAAACATGAGATGAAAGTTACGCCTGGGCTTATACAAATATTTAAGTTCAGTCTGGGGGTGGAGGGGAATGAAGCCCACGAAGTGATTGCTCCATGGCTGTCCAGCTATGTTCATTTGGCAGGAGAGGAGCCATGGGACCAACCTCTGGAGCCTTTCCCCTGCTGCTTTCCTATTGCCTTACACTCATGATCCCCAAGCACACCAGCACGTGCCACCTGGCTTTGTTCTGCTCCTCACTCGGCAGTTTTGGATCCCCCGCAGCTGAAAACCTGCTTTGAATTTAGCCCCTTTTGAGTCCCATAATCACCTACGAAGAGTGCCACGGTCAGGAGCAGGTTGTTGTTGTTCTCAACTGGAACCAGTGATGAACACAAGAGCTCCAGAGGTGGACAGCGCTTTTCCCCACCTTGGAGCCGGCTGTGTTGCAGGGAAGCAGCTTAACCCCTGGGGCAAGAGGAGCAGCCTTTGTGTCTTTATTTCTGGCAACTGCACCTCCACCAATGTTTCCCAGCAGAACCCTCTGACAGAGCCTGCTCAGGAGCCCCAAACCTGGTGGGTTTTGCCTGTCTCAGGTGTTGCTGGGTGCGTTCACAGCCAGCAGGGACCAAAGGAGCTGTTTTGTGCAGGCTCCTGGCTCTCACAACAGCAGCTGCTGAGGTCACTGACATTCCGTGGTGCTCTGGAAAATGAGACAGGGGATGTGTTGTACAGCAGTGACTTTTCTGTTACAGGTGAGCAGCACCTGGGGAAAACAAACTCAAGTGTGTTTTTTGTGAATTCTTGGTGTTGTTTTGAAGAAGGCCCAAGAAACATTTAATTTTATTTCTTTTTACTTCTGCCCATATCTTTCTTTGCCTATGGGTTTTTGCTGCTACGTAAAAATTGTAGGTCCCAAGTTTTCTGATCTTCCCGAGGTTTTCTGTGGACCACTGAAATTTATTATAAAATCAGAGAATGTTTTGGGTTGGAATGGACCTTAAAGCTCATCCCATTCCATTCCTGCCATGGCAGGGACACCTTCCACTGTCCCAGGCTGCTCCAAACCCCAACGTCCAACCTGACCTTGGACACTTCAGGGATCCAGGGGCAGCCAGAGGTGCTCTGAGCAATCTCTGCCAGTGCCCTCAAAGTAAAGAATTTCTTCTTTATGACTAGTATAAATTTATCTTTTTGTTAAAGCTATTACTCCTTGTCCTATTGTAACAGGTCCCGTTAAAAGGTTTGCCCCATCTTTCTTTAACCTTTTTTAAATACTGGAGATAGTATTTATGGAGATACAAGGAGAAAGATGAAACTGGGAAAATTCAGAACAAGAATGACAGCTGCTTTTCTGAGAAACCTTTCTGTCTTTTTTAAAAAGTTATTAAACCTGTTTATTTATCTTGGGCTTATAAAAACATGGGGGGAAGAGGACTCAAAGGTGCAGTTCTTCTTCCAAGGAGAGGCATGATGTGACTTGTCCATTGTGACAAGGTGACAAATCATCTAGAACACAACAGTTCTGAATATTGGCAGTAATTCAGTGCTAGAGGCGAAGAGGAGCTGATGGTCTCTTTGGAGGAGCTCTTGAGCTTCTAACTGGTTCTCCTGGGGAGTCCTTCTGTGCTTTTTCTCTCTGCCTCAGCTTCTCTTATCTTGTGCACTGAGATAAGGCCATGGGGGAGTGGGGATGCCGTGTTTGCTGAAGGCTGGCAAGGGTAAGTCTTTGAAGTCTCCTGGGGCGAGGAGCAGCCTGGGCTGAGCAGGTGGCTCTTACCTGAGCTGGGCTCCAGCTGCTCTTGCTGAGCCTGTCCTTTCAGACATCCAACTCTCCAGAACTGCAGGATGCTGCAGAGATTGCCCTTCCCTGTCCTGTCCCATCTCTGGCAGGAGAACATTTGCAGTCAGGGGTCTGGGTGAGTCTGAACTATCAAAGGATGGCCAGAGCCTGCCCTTGCTTTGGGTATGGCCAGGGTTGGTGGCAGCTGCATGGGGAGCAGAGCAGAGCATCTCCTGACCCCCAGCACTGTCTCCAGGGAATTCCCTCTGGTTCCTTGACATCCCCCTGTGGATGGAGCAGTCTGGTCAATGCTGGTGCTCAGGCTGCAGCAGGTATCTGTGGGGAGGGTATTTCACACTCCCACCTTCTTTCAAGGATCCTCAGTGATCTGGTGTCCACACACTCTCAGAATCATTGCAGTATAGGGGCATTATTTTTGTAAAAGTATTTCAATGAGTTTGATTTTATTCCCCCATTCTCTGAGCTGGACATGAGCAGAGGGGAAAAGCTGTTTGGTGAGGGAAGCTGTGGGCAGCTGGGTGGCTGAGGCAGAGCTCCAGACTGGTGACAGATAATTTGGGTTCCCCTGCCTTCAGGGGACAGGCTGTGTCCCCTGACACCACGTTTGCAGCACTGGAGCCCTCCCAGCACTCACAGTGAGCTGAGCTTTGGTCCCCAGGCACCGTCCAGCTCCTGAACAAAAAAAGCTGTACCAGCCAAAGCCTGGCTGTGCTGGGGCCATGTCATTGGCACAGGGGACAGGAGGTGGCATGGCTGTGCTGGCCACCAGGGCCTCTCCCAGCCCTGCCCAGCATCGCTGTGCTGGTGCCACTCGCAGCAGAGACCTGCCTCTCAGACACAGTGATTTTGCTGGTATGATAACTGCTTTCCAAGCCAATATATTTCTTAATGTTACCAGAAAGTCGCTAATACCATATGGCAAGGCTCTCTATTTTTGCAGGACAACAAACAAATTGTTGCTAGATGCCAGACTGCTCTGGCAGAGCTTTATCACTGATGCCTGCCAGCAGTAGCCTTTAGGAGATAGTAATAATTCGGGGTTGTTTACATCACAACTTTAAAATCGGGGTTTTCTTGAGGCATGTGTGTGTTTAGTCAGGAAAGGTGGCTAAAAAAATTTCTGACAGCATCGAAGGGTGAAGGTGCCCACCATGGCCTGTAAATGTACTCTTGGCCCTTGAAACTCCTCTGGCCCCAG